TATTGATTTGAAACTATCGTGTGATGTCACGATTTAATACATTTTATGTACTGGGTACTGTGACGTAACGACCTCCCACTCCCAAACTTAACTCCGTTTTCTCTAAGTATTGTAACTTTATATGTATGTTTGTATGTATATTTGTTACTCAATCTCTATCTGGCTATCTCTATCTAATAAACGACTGCACGGATGGTGCGGTGGCTGGGCAACCGGCTGCCGTGCAACGTGTCGCGAGTTCGATTCCCGCACGGAACAACACTTTGCGTGATCCACAAATTGTTGTTTCGGGTCTGTGTGTCATGTGTATGTGAACTTGTATGTTTGTAAACGTACTCACGACACAGGAGATAATCCTAGTGTGGGGCAACGTTTAAAAAAAAAAAAAAGACAAAGAAAAAAAAAAAGAAAAGAATCATATCAAAACTGCTGAAGGGAACGGGATGAAATTGGAACAGGGGTAGATCATGGTTTGAATAACACACAGGTTATTTTTTACTAGCTACTTCCGCGCGGTTTCACTCGCTCTGCTCGGCGCCTAGTAATCGTAGCGTGATATTTTATAGCCTATAGCCTTCCTCGATAAATGGGCTATCCAACACAGAAAGAATGTTTCAAATCGGACCAGTAGTTTCGGAGATTAGCGCGTTCAAACAAATCAAACAAAGAAACACTCTTCAGCTCTTTTTCAACAAAAACGCGGGCGAATCTGCTGGCAAGAGCTAACGTATAATATGCAATTAAACATTCAACATTATACAGTGTGTGCGCAGTCAGATGATACATAAACATTTTAAAATCGGATTTTAAAACTCGGGTTCCGTTCACGGGTCGTACAAAATATTACTGGGGTTTTAAAAAACTCTCTGTAGTAGCACGGAGTCTGTAAATGTGTCCGGTATATGGCAATAGGCTCACCACCTATTGCATGGGACTCATAACATAAATAGTGAAAAGTGGGTGTTACATTGTACAGTGGCATTAAGGGCTGTAATGTGCACCCCTGCCTACAGTTATGTTATTTTCCTTATTTCAAAAAATATTCGTTCCCGTGTTGTTTCAGTAATAATAACTATTCTATATCCTTTCCTGGGTTGCCAACCATTATTGTACTGAATTACAAATAGATACAGCGGTGGAAAACTCATCCTTTTCCGGGTCTCAAACTAACAAATATATAGCATGCTGTGACGTCGTCGCGGAGAACCTAACGGGTAACCGGGGCTCCGACTCGACGTGCAGGAGAAGGAACGGGGTGGTTTTTAGTCAGTAAGAGTCTGACACTCCCTCCCGCCTCACCCAGTTAGGAGCAGTCATTCGATGACTTTCCCCCCTTTAAATAAAGCCTACAATTTAACATTTTATTTGTTTTCAGGTGCAAAGTAAACCACAGGCGGCCAAGTCTGAAACGAAGGTCGCGCCGAAGAAGAAAGAAGTTAAGAGCGTCAAGAGTGAGATCAAAGTGGACGAGAAGAGCGAAGATAGCGATGTCAAGGTAAAAATATCCTTTCCTTCTTTAACATAACATTACATAACATCACGCCTTTTGTCCTCCAAGGGGTAGGCAGAGGTGCACATTGTTCCACTGTACAATGTAACACCCACTTTTCACTATTTATGTTATGAGTCCCATGTAATAGGGGGTGAGCCTATTGCCATATACCGGGCACAGTTCCAGACTCCGTGCTACTACTAAGATTTTTTTTTTAAAAAACCCAGTAATAGTTTGCCCGATCCGGTAATCGAACCCGAGACCCCTTGCCCGGCAGACGCAACACAATACAAGTATTAATGGGTTTTTTAAAAAAATCTCAGTTATAGCACGGAGTCTGGAATCACATACACATGACACACAGACACGGAACAACAAAAGTGTTGTCCCGTGCGGGAATCGAACCCGCGACACGTTGCACGGCAGCCGGTAGCCCAGCCACCGCACCAACCAACCGGAGCAACTTTTTGTGATCCACAGATTGTTGTTCCTGGTCTGGGTGTCATGTGTATGTGAACTTGTATGTTTGTAAACGCACCCACGACACAGGAGAATATCCTAGTATTTTTTTTTTATAAATTTGGAGATTTAAATGTTTATAAATGTATTTTTTCCCCAGCAACCCCAACCGGCCCCCTTAGAAGAAGCGCAAGCGACATCTGGCTTCAAACCAATAAACTACGCGGCCGCCGCAAAAGCGAACAAACCCAAGAAACCACCGACAACCACACCAGTAACCACACCCACAGAAAAACCACTACCCAAGGTAGAAAAACCAAAAGCAACCGAAAAAGTTGAGAAAAAGGAGAAACCGAAGTCAGAAAAAGTAAATGTTCAAAGAAAAAACTCGGCTAAGTAACTAAAAAGGTGAGTTTGTTGACAAAAAACACCTTTTTCGGTAAAAAATTTATTGCCTGTGTACAAATTTTTATCTGGCAACACTGTTTGAGGCAAAGGTATTTGCATACAGCCTTGTACAGCCTGTGTATAGTTTGAAGTTTGAAAATAGTTGTGATATTTCCATTTTTTGAAGTAAATTTGCATTTTTTTTTGGAAATGATAATGAATAAAAAAATTTAAATAATAAAAAAAAAAGAATTAAAAAACGATATAGTGTAAAAATAATGTATGGTAACCACATTTTGTGAATAATTAGTTTTTAAAAATATTTAGTAGACACTTAGATTTTTAATGAAGTTTTTTTTTCTATTTGAGACTTTTTATAGAAGTCGTAAACGGGAGGAAACTCGGAATGAGCTGGACTTGAATATTTTCCGCCTGACATAACATGTAACAAAAAAACAAAATGTCTTCAATAGGCATAATAGAGAATCTTCATCACAAAAAAAAAAGATATTGTACTTTGACAGCTCCTGTCAATCTTAGGTCAAAAACATTTTTAATCTATGGTTCCCGTTATTTGACGTAACATATGACTCTGTTACACGAAAAAAATATCTATACAGAGTCTCAAATGTTAAAAAAAATTAATAAAGCCTATAACAAAGGCTGTCCAATTTAGTTTAGTTAAAATTCGTCTTGTATATTGAAAATAATTGAAAAAAAAAACATGTATATGAAAAAAAAATTAAAAACTGGTTACTGAAAAGCTGGAAGACTACTGTAATATTTAGCATTTAGTTGCTTCGTGCAGATTTTAAATCCGAAACTCTCACACTCTCGTCACGGCATCACGCGTGAATGATTTCACTAATTCTTCATTTGTTATTATTAGGAGAAGGTTCTTATAACAGAAATAATCCAAATCCTATATATCCTACGGGAACGGGAGAAAATGGGATTGCGCGTACGAAGTCGCCGGCTGAACCTAGTTAAGTAATAATAATAGATATACTAGCTTTTGTTGCTTGGCACCCGTTAATTTGGAAGTATTATTCGTATAAAACTTCCTCTTGTCTTAGTCTATTAAAAACCGCATCAAAATCCGTTGCGTAGTTTTATATAGATCTAAGCATACATAGGGACAGACAGACGGCGGATAGTGACTTTGTTTCATACTATGTAGTGATAAATTCAGTTTTTCAGTAATCAGTGTTCTTAAAAATATTTGTCTTATGGGTACCTGTAGATTTTAAAATTTAGGATTTATAAATTCCTTAGAAATTATTATAGTTCACAAATATTTCATTTTTCAGTAATATTTCGCGATATTTTCGAAATATTTTCAGTATCTTTGTCGGTTTAGGTAATGGGGTATCGTCATGAGCTAATGGTGACATGTAAACAGTGACTCGTGTAGTGTAGAGATTGTCCAGTCAACTGATGGTAGCGTGGACTGCCCAGGCGGTACGTACTTAGGTATGTATCTTCATGACAATTTTTTAATTATTCTTAAATCGACAAAGATAAAAGATATTTCGAAATAAGCGAGTTTTAGGTAAAATAAACAAGAAATAAAATCTCTTAGGTTATTTAAATATAATATGATAAATAGAAATATGATGAAACGATAAAATATATCAATTTGGCGTTGGTGTATTATATTTATAGATTTTTTTTATAATAACTAGCAAACCCGGTGAACTCCGTTTCGCCACCAGATGGCTTCGTTTTATGTAACACTAGCTTTTACCCGCGGCTTCGCTCGCGTCACAAAAGGATAAAAAGTAGCCTATATGACATATACCAATACACACAGCGCCATGTACACCAATACTTTTGTTTTCCCTCGGGAATATCAAATTATTCTGGGATAAAAAGTACCCTATTATTTAATCCGGACTTCTAACTTTACGTCTGCAAAATTCAATGCAATCGGTTTAGTAGTTACGGCGTGAAAGCGGAACAAACAAACAAACTCGCTTTCCGATTAATAATATTAGTAAGGATTCTTTGCTATAAACCTCACGGAGCCCGAGACCTTTCCAACGAATGCAAAACCTGGGAAATCGGTTCGTGCGTTCTGGAGTTATAGCGTCAGGACGGAAAATCCGACTTATTTTTATATAGTAGATTAACTCACTGGAGATAAAATCCCATATTTTAAACGGTCGGTAACGCAATTGTACCTCCAGTATATTTGCGTGTGTCTATAGGCGTAGATTGATCACTATCAGGTGATCCATCTGCATAAAAAATACAATTTAAAAGTTGTTTATACTTGTTATATATACTACTAGCGACCCGCCCCGGCTTCGCACGGGTGCAATATGCATGTATTATACATACAAATCTTCCTTAAGAATCACTCTATCTATTAAAAAAAACCGCATCAAAATCCGTTGCGTAGTTTTAAAGATCTAAGCATACATACGGACATACAGCGAAAGCGACTTTGTTTTATACTATGTATTGATGTATCGTGAGATATACTAAATTAACTATAAATCGCGGGTTACTCACGTGAATATACTGAGAAAAGTTCCACTAGTAGGCTGCGCGACATCGCCGCGACTGCGCACACTGCTCATGAGGAAGAGTACCTCTGTGGCGAAACTAGTAGAGCTTTTCTCAGTATATTCACGTGAGTAACCCGCGATTTTTAGGTAATTCTTTATAATTATGGTTGTACGTGCAGGCCACGCGATAAATAATAATATGTATGAAGCCATCTCACCTCACCTGCCTACCCAATTTCATCAATTTATATTTATAATACACCAATTGAATTACGGAAAACAAAAATTTTCGTTCAAGAAATTAAAATTAAACATCGTCATAGAAAAATATGATATTTACAAAAAATAAAAAAACATATTTTTTCTTTTTTTTTTTTAGTTTTTATTCTGTAGGAGGAACGTTTAACAGGAATTCTTACGTTTAGGTTTCGTTTTAGATTTGTTGTCGATTTTTTTTTAATACTAGATTTTTGGAAAGTAACTTGTAGGCAATGTTCTACAGTCGGCCAAGTAATTTAGTATACGCGTAAGAAAATAAAAATTGGTTCAGTATAGAGACAGTAGCCATTGTTATACTAAACTAGCTACTCTGCTCAGCTTCTATTGGTTGTAGCGTGATGTTTTATAACCAATAGCCATCCTCGATAAATGCACTATCCAACACAAAAAGAATTATTCAAATCAGACTTGTAGTTACGGAGATTAGCGCGTTCAAACAAACAAACAAAAAAACAAACTCTTCCGTTTTATATAATAGTATAAGATTGTATGCTTTGTAACGAAACCATGTCTTTTGTAAATCAGTCGGCTCTAGACAACCAATGGTTTTTTTTTAAGGGGGGAAAATCATCGAATGACTGCTCCCCCTGGGTGAGCGGGAGGGAGTGTCAGACTCTTACTGACTAAAAACCACCCCGTTCCTTCTCCTGCACGTCGAGCCGGAGCCCCGGTTACCCGTTAGGTTCTCCGCGATAAACTGACAACCAATAGTTACAGTCTCTGTACTGAATCAATCTATTCTATTACCTGTACACTAAATTAGTTACTGTCAAGACCTGAAAATACCTATTTATTTAAGAATTCTCCGTTACAGACTCTATAAAAGTTGGTATTAAAAAAATATCGATAATTTTAAAGTATTTTGCATGACAATTTGATTAAATATTAGCTAAATATTGCGTTTATTATAACAGAAGTGCACACTTCTTTTTACGATCCATCCAGTCACGAACTAGTTTTCAATTTAACCCTTTGTGTACCGTCATTATAAACACAATTATAGAACAATAGGTTGCAGTCACCGGTGACCGCTTGGTGTTTGACAGTTTAATACGAGAAAATATTTTTTGTCCATTATCTAAATGATGGACTAATTAGATTTTTAATTTTGATACCCTGACAACTACCCTATTGTAACGCCTCTAGTGTTTCGTGTGTCCATGGGCGACGCCGATTGCTTACCATCAGGTGATCCGTCTGCTCGTTTACCAGCTTATACCATAAAGACGTCTCAATGTTTAGAAGTTATTTGATCAAATTGTCATGTATTACACAAGTCTAAATCTTGGTCTTATTATTAAATAATTAGGGGTTATTAAACCAGTTTTTTTGAAATGTAAACTCGAAATTTTAGTGCTATTTTTTCAAAATATTATACATATATATATATATATATATGTATAATATTATATATATATATTATATATATATAATATTTATATATATATATGTTATGTACATATAACATATATATATATATATATGTTATATGCCAGTAGAACTAACAAAAAAATTAGGCAAGCTAAAGAAAATCGTGTAAAAACTTTATCATTGTTAAACAAGCACTTTTACGACTCTTCGAGTATGCTCAACTGATTTCGAGCTAAACCGGGGCTCATGTTCATAAGCTGCGTGCGAGAAATAAAAGATTAATACTTTACTATTTTAGTAGTATTTTTTTATACTCCTCTATTGTACTTTATGTATGATTATAAAGTAATATTTACGATACATTTCGCTTCTTCCTAAAAAGGGGTAAGTAGAAACGTTGATCGTTTGTACCCAATTCCATATTTACTTCTACCGCGTTTTGCACTGTCTTCAAATATATGATACCTCATTTAAATATTCATATAACAAAATTGTAGGCACTTTTGGATAATCAAACGTAATAATTGATAATGAAAAAAGCTAGTAGCTCGTCCCTATATTAATTTTTAACCGCCTTGAAACAAGAAGAACTTCTAACCTTCAAGAAAAGAGCGTATTCCTTATTAAAAGGCCGGCAACGCACCTGTGACACCTCTGGTGTTGCGGGTGTCCATGGGCGGCGCTGATCGCTTACCATCAGGTGATCCGACAGCTCGTTTGCCTCCTATTCCATAAAAAAGAAGGTTCACAATTTGTTATGTCTTAAGACACTATTGTCGAGCAGGTCGCGCAACCAACATAATGTACACAGTTATATGGAGGGTATCTCACCTGGTGGCAATATGGTTGTGCAACTTGTCGGTGACCGAGTCAACACCAATGTTCTCAAAGTCAAAGCATTTATTTCAATTAACTCGTCGAGTACCGGTTTTGTAGACACAATTATAGAACAATAGGTTGCGGTCACCGGTTACCGCTTGATGTTTGACAGTTTAAACCATAATTTGGTACTTTACTTAATCAAAAATTAATTATTTCGACTGTTCAATATTATAAAATATAAAAAAAATAATCACACTTTCATTAATTGTTTTTATGACC